TTTTATATCAATAGATAGGTGAGGGCATGCTGATTCCAAATATATCCTTTCCAATCGTTGAAAGCAGCTGTGTGAAGAAAAAATTACATTTTTGTGCATACACATCATGGTTTTCGATATTCGTATTGCAGTTTTCGTGTCCTTCTTTCTCCACTTAGGAGTGAACATCAAAATAGACATTCATACACCATTCGATAGAGAATTCAAAGGGATACAGCTTACACTCTTTATATTTGGAAAAAGAACAAATCGACTTTTTCGCCTAATGTCCGCTTGGATGCCCACTGAGTATTGCTTCCGCATTCGATTCAATATCATTTTTAGAATCAGTTTTGGATGCTATATTAGAAAAGAATACTTTGAAAACTTGAAAAGAACCTTATAGGAGTAAATTCGAGTGACTTGAAAAAGAGAGACATTTTTCGAAAAATCAGACTCTTCAAGTTTTTAAGGCTTTTCGACCTGAAAAAATGTTTTGAAAAGCTAAAACCAACTTTTTCCTACTCAGTTCGATGCGCTCTTTCGAATGGTACATGACTTAGTCGAAAGCAAGAGAGTGCTCACCTTTTGAATTTCCCGTACCTTACATCCACAAAAAAAAGCATTGGATTAGCCAGTGAAGATGAGCAGATAACGACAGATAAAATAAGTAAGAAAGAAGAGAAATCTTTTTCCTCATGAAATTTCTTGTAAGCACGACTCTGACTTCTTGAATTTTTCCACTAAGACCTTGGAAAAAAATGTAAAATGTAAAAGTTCAAGAAATTTCATGAAATCAAGACCTTGAATATATTGAAATTTCTTCACTTCGTGTACTAAAGATTGCTCGTTTTGTTTTATACTGTTGCTTTCGGATAAATGGCAATATTTCCATACTTAGACTAACTTCAAATATTTTTTGTTTCTTGAACATATACATTTCAGGAAGACTACGCATTCTGAGAAAAGCTCTGGCTATATCGAGAAAAAGTAGGTCAAAAAATTTTTTATTGATGAAAAATTCGATGGTGATCGTTGGTGCGCTAGGTGCTCATTATGTCACTCAATAGTTTGGGATAAGATCCATGTGACTTCAAATTGTAATCGACATATGAAAAGACACCATAAAACTGATTTAAATAAATGGTCTGAATCATTGATAGAAGTACATAAAATGCAGCCCAAAATAGCCGATGCTTTTTCTGGTAAGTGAAATACTTCCCAGTATATCTTTGCTGCTACAACTTTCCCACTTTGTTCTTAGGTAAAATTAATAAATATGGTCCGTCACATCCTAAACAAATTGAGTTAACTGATAGTATTATTCAAGATTTGATTATTGATCTTGGGCTTCCATTATCACTTGTTGAGAGACCAGCATTTATACGCTTCATGAAAAAAGCGGATCCAAAATATGCAGTCACAAGTCGACGCACTATTACAAGACAAATGATACCAGATTTATATGACAAGATGCGAAAAGGTTTACAAGAATTTTGTAACACTGCTCAATTTATTTCATTAACACTTGATATTTGGACTGATAGACGTATGAGATCATTTTTTGCGGTAACTGGACATGCAATTATTAATGGTGATTTCAAATCGTACGTGCTTTCATTTTTACCAATGCAAGGTATTCATACTGGTGATGCTTTGTTCGCTGAATTCGAAAATGTGGTTTCAACATATTCCATTAGAGACAAACTCGTACGTATAGTAACTGATAATGCTTCAAATAATATAAAAGCTTTTGAGCAGTTATTCGTTCCAGGCTTCGAAGTATACTTTGAGCCAGATGAAGATGGGGTTGATCATTTAAGTGAAGGCGATGAGGAGGCAGTTAAGTCCAACAAGGATGCTGATGCTGCTGGGTTAAGTACTATCGAGAAAAGCTTTGATACAGCAACAAGTGATGCAGGAGGTTTACGTATACCTTGTTTTCCACATACACTCGAGCTAGTAGTTAGAGACGATTTAAACAATTCAAACTGTGCGAAGTATTCATTATCTAAGGTAGCAAAAATTGCTAAATTAAGTCATAATAGTACAAAATTTTCTGAACAGCTAGAAAAACTAAGTATAACTATACCTACTGCTGTTCCTACTAGATGGAACAGTCAGTATGATTGCGTATGCAAAATTTTGGAAATAGCTAATGATTCAAGAAATAATTTAAATCAGATGTTAACAGATATAAATAAAACTGATCTCCGTTTACTTCCAAGAGACTACGCTATATTAAACGAGTTTGTTTCATTATTTGCACTTTTTGCCGAAGCCACGATAAAAACCCAAGCTGATAAGTCACCTTCCATCAGTCTGGTAGCACCAAGCTTGCTTGGTATTTATCTCGATCTTCAGCATGAATTACAGAATAATTGTAATCATACAACTTCTTTGTGCAAGACTCTTTTAACATCATTAAAATCACGATTTGGTGGTCTATTGGAAAAACTGTATATTAATATTGATGAAAGTATTTTAAGAAGGTCTACTTATCATCTTTATTCTGATAATATATTTTTAATTTCACCACTACTTGACGCAAAATTTAAACTTAATTGGACAATTAATTCTTCTCTTCCTGAATGAGACAAAGAAAATATTTGTGAAAACATAAAAAAATTAACTGCTGATGCATGTGTATTAAGAACAAATAATAATAATTATAATACTACAGATGAGAATAATGCTAGCTGTGTATTAAATAATTCTACAACAACAAATAATACAAAGAGAAAAGGTTTATTTTCATATTTTAAAACACCAAACGCGAAAAGAACTAGATTAATTTCACAAAGTACGATAAATGAAGAAATAATGCTTTTTTTAAACGAAGA